CAAGAAAATTAAAAAACTCAAAAATTTAATATTTTCTTGTGTGTGTTAATATACACATCTTGGGGAGAAAATTGAAAAACTCGAAATTTTTTTTTTTTTTTTGTGTGTGGTAATACACATATATTCACAAGAAAATTTTAAAAAAAAAAACTCAAAAATTTAACATTTTCTTGTGTGCGTTAATACACACATCTTGGCAAGAAAATTAAAAAACTTGGAATTTAATATTTTTTTTGTGTGTGTATGTGTGTTAATACACATATCTTGACAAGAAAATTAAAAAAAAACTCAAAAATATAAGATTTTCTTGTGTGTGTTAGTACACACATCTTGGCAAGAAAATTAAAAAACTCGAAAATTTAACATTTTGTGTGTGTTTGATAGAACACATATATTCACAAGAAAATAAAAAAAACTCAAAAATTTAACATTTTTTTGTGTATATGTTAATACACACATATTGGCATGAAAAATTAAAAAACCCGATAATTTAACATTTTTTGTGTGTGTGATAGTACATATATATTCACAAGAAAATTAAAAAAAACTCAAAAATTTAACATTTTCTTGTGTGTTAATGCACACATCTTGGAAAGAAATTAAAAAACTCGATAATTTAACATTTTGTGAGTGTCTGATAGTACACATATATTCACAAGAAAATTAAAAAAAACACCCAAAAATTTAACATTTTCTTGTGTGTGTTAATACATACATCTTAGCAAGAAAATTAAAAAACTTAAAATTTTAACATTTTTGTATGTGTGTGTTAGTACACATATCTTGACAAGAAAATTAAAAAAACTCAAAAATTTAACATTTTCTTGTGTATGTTAATACACACATCTTGACAAGAAAATTGAAAAACTCGTAAAGTTAATTTTTTTTTTGTATGTGTGGTAGTACACATATACTCACGAGAAAATTATAAAAAACTTAAAAATTTAACATTTTCTTGTGTGTGTTAATACACACATCTTGGCAAGAAAATTAAAAAACTCGAAATTTAATATTTTTTGTGTATGTGTGTTAATACACATATCTTGATAAGAAAATTTAAAAAAAAACTCAAAAATATAAAATTTTCTTGTGTGTGTGTTAATACACACATCACGGCAAGAAAAATTGAAAAACTCGCAAATTTAACATTTTTTTGTTTGTAAATACACATATCTTGATAAAAAATTCAAAAATTTGATAATTTAATATTTTCTTGTGTTTTTGTTGATACACACATCTAGACAAGAAAATAAAAAATTAGTCCTGCAAACTTAAGAAAGAAAAAATTCACAGAAAGAAACTCAAAAATATAATATTTTCTTATGTGTGTGTTAATACACACATCTTGGGAAGAAAATAAAAAACTACAAAATTTAGTATTTTTTGTGTTTGTGTTAATACACATATCTTGAGAAGAAGGATTAAAAAAACTCGAAAATTTAATTTTTTTTTTGTGTGTTAATATGCACATCTTGGCAAGAAAAATTAAACAAATTCACAAATTTAACATTTTTTGTGTGTGTTAATACACACATCTTGAGAAGAAAATTTAAAAAACTCGAAATGTAACATTTTCTTGTGTGTTCATACACACATATTGGTAAAAAAATTAAAAAACTTGAAAATTTAACATTTTTTGTGTGTGTTAATATACGTATCTTGACAAGAAAAATAAAATAAAAACTCTAAAATTTAACATTTTCTTGTATGTGTGTTAATTCACACATCTTGGCAAGAAAATAATAAAACTCGAAAATTTAAGTTTTTTTGTGTGTGTCTGTGAAATTACACATATCTTGACAAAAAAAATTAAAAATTTAATATTTTCTTTTTTATGTTAATACACACTTCTTGGCAAGAAAATTAAATAACTTGAAAATTTAGCATTTTTTGTGTGTGTGATAGTACACATATATTAACAAGAAAATTAATAAAACTCAAAAATTTACACACATCATGGAAAGAAAATTATAAAACTTGAAAATTTAACATTTTGTGTGTGTGTGATAGTACACATATATTCACAAGAAAAAAAAAAACTCAAAAATTTAACATTTTCTTATGTGTATAATACACACATTTTGGCAAAAGATTAAAAAACCCAAAAATTTAACATTTTTTTTTGTGTGTGTGTTTTAATACCAATATCTTTACAAGAAAATTAAAAAAAAAACTCAAAAACATAAGATGTTATTGTGTGTGTGTTAATACACACATCACGGTAAGAAAAATTTGTGAATACACATATATTGATAAAAAAATTTAAATACTCCAAATTTAACATTTTCTTTTGTGTTTGTTAATACACACATTTTGACAACAAAATAACAAATTTAGTTCTGCAAACTTAGGAAGAAAAAATTCACAGAAAGAAACACGAAAATTTAACATTTTTTGTATGTGTGTTAATACACATATCTTGACAACAAGATTAAAAAAATTAGAAAACAAAACATTTTTTTGTGTGTGTGTTAATACACATATCTTGACAAGAAAAATAAAATAAAAACTCAAAAAATTTACATTTTTTTGTGTGTGTTAATACACACATCTTGCAAGAAAATTATAAAACTCGAAAAATTAACATTTTTTGTGTCTGTGTTAGTACACATATCTTGACAAGAAAAATAAAAAAACTCAAAAGTTTAACATTTTCTTGTGTGTGTTAGTGCACACATGTTGGCAAGAAAATTAAAAAACTCAAAAATTTAACATCTTGCGTGTGTGTGATAGAACACATATATTCACAAGAATATTAAAAAAAAAACTCAAAAATTTAACATTTTCTTATATGTGTTAGTACACACATCTTGGCAAGAATATTAAAAAACTCTAAAATTTAACATTTTTGTGTGTGTTATAGTACACATATATTCACAAGAAAATAAAAAAAAAAACTCTAAATTTTTACATTTTCTTATGTGTGTGTTAATACAAACATCTTAGCAAGAAATTTAAAAAACAAAAAATATGAGATTTTCTTGTGTGTGTGTTAATACACACATCACAGCAAGAAAAAAAATAAAACTCGCAAATTAAACACTTTTTTGTTTGTGAATACTCATATATTGACAAAAAATTAAAATACTCGAAAATTTAACATTTTTCTTGTGTGTCTGTTAATACACACATTTTGACAAGAGAATAAAAAAATGAATTATGCAAACTTTGGAGGAAAATTCACAGAAAGAAACACGAGAATTTAACATTTTCTTGTGTGTGTTAATACACACATCTTGGCAAGAAAATAAAAAAACTAGAAAATTTAGTATTTTTTTGTATGTGTGTTAATACACATATCTTGAAAGAAGATAAATATTTTTCGAAAATATAACATTTTTTTGTGTGTGTTACTACTCACATCTTGGCAAAAAAAATAAAAAATAAGCAAATTTAACATTTTTTGTGTGTGTTAATACACATATCTTGACAAAAAATTTAAAAACTCAGAAATTGAACATTTTCTTGTGTGTGAGTTAATACAAACATCTTGACAAGAAAATTAAAAAATTTTTCAAAAGTATAACATTTTCTTGTGTGTGTTATAATACACACATCTTGGCAAGAAAAATTAAAAAATTTGTAAAATTTTTTGTGTGTGTTAATACACATATCTTGACAAGAAAATTATAAAAAAAACTCGAAAATTTATCATTTTCTTGTGTGTTTGTTAATACACACATCTTGGCAAGAAAATAAAAAAATTAGTCCTGCAAACTTAAGAAGGAAAAATTCCCTTAAAGAAACTCTAAAATTTAACATTTTCTTGTGTGTGTATAACATACACACATCTTGGGAAGAAAATAAAAAAACTTCAAAATTTAATATTTTTGTTTGTGTGTGTTAATACACATATCTTGACAAGAAGATTAAAAAAACCTCGAAAATATAATATTTTCTTGTGTGTGTTAATAAACACTTCTTGGCAACAAAATAAAAAACTTCAAAATTTATATTTTTTGTGTTTGTGTTAATACACATATCTTGACAAGAAGATAAAAAAAACCTCAAAAAAATAATATTTACTTGTGTGTATTAATACACACATTTTTACAAAAAATTTTAAAATTAGCAAATTTTATATTTTGTGTGTGTGTGTGTGTGTGTTAATTCACACATCTTGGAAAGAAAATAAAAAAAACTTTAAAATTTAACATTTTTTTTGTGTGTGTTAGTACACATATCTTGACAAGAACATAAAAAAAACTCATAAATTTAATATTTTCTTGTGTTTCTTAATACACACATCTTGGCAAGAAATTTAAAAAACTCGAAAATTTAACATTTCGTGTGTGTGTGATAGTACATATATATTCACAAGAAAATTAAAAAAAAAACTCATAAATTTAACATTTTCTTCTGTGTGTGTTAATACACATATTTTGGCAAGAAAACTAAAAAACTCGAAAATTTAACATTTTTGTGTGTGTGTGTGTGTGTGTATGTTAATACACATATCTTGACAAGAAAATCAAAAAAAAACTTGAAAAATATAAGATTTTCTTGTGTGAGTGTTAATACACACATCAAATTTAACATTTTGTGTGTGTGTGTGTGTGTGTGTTAGTACACATATCTTGACAAAAAAATTAATAAAACTCTAAAATTTAATATTTTTTTTGTGTGTTAAATACACATATTGGCAAGAAAATTAAAATACTCGAAAATTTATCATTTTTTGTGTGTGTCTGATAGTACACATATATTCACAAGAAAATAAAAAAAAAACTCAATAATTTAACATTTTCTTGTGTGTGTGTGTGTTAGTACACATATTTTGAGAAAAAAATTACAAAAACTCAAAAATTTAAGATTTTCTTGTGTGTGTTAATACACAACTCAAAATTTTAACATTTTTTAAGTGTGTGTTAGTACACATATCTTGAGAAGAAAATTAAAAAAACTCAAAAATTTAACATTTTCTTTAGTGTGTAATACAAACATCTTGGCAAGAAAATTGAAAAACTCAAAAACTTGATTTTTTTTTGTGTGTGTGGTAGTACACATATATTCACAACAAAATTAAAAAAAACACTCAAAAATTTAACATTGTCTTGTGTATATACACACATCTTGGCGAGAAAATTAAAAATTAAAAATTTAATATTTTTTGTGTGTGTGTGTTAGTACACATATCTTAACAAGACAAACCCCAAAACATAGCCAGCTAAAGTCAATTCACATTGCTATCTAACTCTTGCAACTTTAGAGCCATCTCAGGGATATATCCAGCCCCTAAGATTCTGGCGAGTGACCGTATAGCTTTAGAGATCAACTCTTTCTTCTGCTTCTCACCTGAAGTGCTTGTGTCGCTTGATCGAGACGCGTTGTCTTCCTCCTTCAATGTCACACACAATCCTCTCAACCACTCGTCTAGAAAAGAGGCTTTCTATAGGGTTTCAACCGACATGAATATTCAAATTAATATTACTTTAAACATTACGCAAATGAAAATAGTGGAATCAACAACTGTCAGTTTCTTACTTTTAGGAGAAAATCTGTCAACGCATCACAATGACAGCTCGAAACTAGGCTCAGGAGATGCAGCATGGTTGAGGTTAACTGAAACAACAAATCGCACTTTAGATAAATTATTCATCAATAACCTAAAACCAGGCTAACAAGGTTTTCGTAGTTTTACCTGATTCTCTAGCGATCTCTTATATTTGAAATTTGTTGGAGTCGTCTCTCTGTCGGAATTCAGACTCTGTAAAGTATGTTCCACACCTTTTACAACATAAAGGAATGATCTCCCATAAGCTGCAATTACATTACATGCAAGGGAGGGTATAATTAGCCAAATAGTACAACCCCAAATCCCATATAATATGAGACAAAAAGTGACCTGTCCAAATTAACATAGCTACAGGGGAGGGGAGAAAGAGAGACAGTATCAAACTCACCAAGTGGGGTTGCTGGAACAGCTAAAGCGGCAGCCGCTTGTATTCTTATTTTTAAGTTTGAAGCATCACGGAGCAGCAATAGTAGAATACTAAAAACACTTGGAGCCCTTCAAAAGTAAAAGGACTTTGTGAAGGTAACCGAGAGAAGTACCTTCAGTAACAGAAAGCTAAAGATGCATACCAATCCATATCTTGCAGTTTTACTGTCTCATTGGAGAACAAATTGCTTAACGCATGACACACATTCCATTGAACCTGTACAAATTTCTTAAGTCAAAGAATATGGTAGATAAAGCAAGGGATGCGTACAGAAACCATAGCATTTTGATACAAATCAGATCAAATCGAATATATTTCTCTATAAGAAATCTTTATTAAAAAAAACCACATTAATTAGATTTGAGTTTGATAAGCATTCTCTCAAACCAAACTAGGGCAACTCGAACCAAAACGGATTGAAACCCAAATGCTCACATCCAGATGAAACCATATCGTTTAATTCTACTTATTAAGGTATACCTTAACATTACCAGTAGTAACACTGGAAATAAATGCTTGCACGGTCCTCTCCAACCAGCTCGAATCTACCACGCAAGATAAATGGTGATGGTGCAATGGTAAAACCTCGTGGTTACTTGTCTGGTATTGCAATTTTACATATTTTGAGATACTCCACAGTGCCCGAACTGCATTGGCTTTGACCTGATAATAGAATTCTGGAAATGATGATTGCAGGCAATAATACTAAAACCTACTGTGAGCTTCACACACACAAATATATATATGAAAGCCAATTTCGCCAAAGAGAAACAAAACATTTGGATAACAAGTTACGGAGAAAACAACTAATTAATAATTAATATTATAGTAACTTTTGGAATTTAGTAGCATATCACATAGTAGTAAGTAAAAGGAATTATCACTATATCTAGGGAACTATTTTCATACACACATCTTGGCAAGAAAATTAAAAAACTTAAAAATTTAACATTTTGTGTGTGAGTGATAGTACGCATATATTCACAAGAAAATTAAAAAAAAACTCATAAATTTAACATTTTCTTGTGTGTGTGTTAATACACATTTTGGCAACAAAATTAAAAAACTTGAAAATTTAACATTTTTGTGTGTGTGTGTGTGTGTGTTAATACATATATCTTGACAAGAAAATTAAAAAAAACTCGAAAATATAAGATTTTCTTGTGTGAGTAAACTCGCAAATTTAACATTTTTTGTGTGTGTATTAGTACACATATCTTGATAAAAAATTTAAAAAAATATAATACACACATCACAGCAAGAAAAAAATAAAAAACTCGCAAATTGAACATTTTTTTGTTTGTGAATACACATATATTGACAAAAAATTAAAATACTCGAAAATTTAACATTTTTCTTGTGTGTTTGTTAATACACACATCTTGACAAGAAAATAAAAAAATGAATCTTGCAAACTTAGGAGGAAAATTCACAGAAAGAAACACGAAAATTTAACATTTTCTTTTGTGTGTGTTAATACACACATTTTGGCAAGAAAAAATAAAAAATAAGCAAATTTAAAATTTTTGTGTGTGTTAATACACATATCTTGACAAAACAATTTAAAAACTCAGAAATTGAACATTTTCTTGTGTGTGTGTTAATACAAATATCTTGACAAGGAAATTAAAAAAAATTTCAAAAGTATAACATTTTCTTGTGTGTGTTAATACACACATCTTTGCAAGAATAATTAAAACATTTGTAATATTATTTTGTGTGTGTTAATACACATATCTTGACAAGAAAATTATAAAAAAAAACTTAAAAATTTAATATTTTCTTGTCTATGTGTTAATATACATTTCTTGACAAGTAAATTAAAAAAAACTCAAAAATTTAACATTTTCTTGTGTGTTTGTTAATACACACATTTTGACAAGAAAATAAAAAAATTAGTCCTGCAAACTTAAGAAAGAAAAATTCCCAGAAAGAAACTCGAAAATTTATCATTTTCTTGTGTGTGTATGTAATACACATATCTTGACAAGATAATTAAAATAACTCAAAAATTTAATATTTTCTTGTTTGTGTTAATACACACATCTTGGCAAGAAAATTAAAAAACTTGAAAATTTTGCATTTTTTGTGTGTGTGATAGTACACATATATTCACAAGAAAATTAATAAAACTCAAAAATTTAACATTTTTTGTGTGTGTTAGTACACACATCTTGATAATAAAATTAAAAAAACTCAAAAATTTAACATTTTGTGTGTGTGTGTGATAGTACACGTATATTCACAAGAAAATAAAAAAAAAACTCAAAAATTTAACATTTTCTTGTGTGTATGTTAATACACACATTTTGGCAAAAAAAACTTAAATACCCGAAAATTTAACATTTTTTGTGTGTTTTAATACCAATATCTTGACAAGAAAATTAAAAAAAAACTCGAAAATATAAGATATTACTGTATGTGTGTGTTAATACACACATCACGGCAAGAAATTTTTTATGAATACACATATATTGATAAAAAAAAATTAAATACTCCATATTTAACATTTACTTTTGTGTTTGTTAATACACACATTTTGAAGAGAAAATAAAAAAATTAGTCCTGCAAACGTAGAAAGGAAAAATTCAGAGAAAGAAACACGAAAATTTAACATTTTTTGTATGTGTGTTAATACACATATCTTGACAAGAAGATTAAAAAAACTATAAAATAAAATATTTTTTTTTTGTGTGTTAATAAACACATCTTGACCAAAAAAATTAAAAAATTCGCAAATTTAACATTTTTGTGTGTGTTAATACACATATCTTGACAAAACAATTTAACAAAAATAGAAATTGAACATTTTCTGGTGTCTGTGTTAATACAAATATCTTGATAAGAAAATTAAAAAAAAAAATCAAAATTATAACATTTTCTTGTGTGTATGTGTTAATACACACATCTTGGCAAGAAAAATTAAAAAACTCACAAATTTAACTTTTTTTGTGTGTGTGTTAATACACATATTATGACAAGAAAATTATAAAAATAACTCAAATAATTAATATTTTCTTGTGTGTGTGTTAATACACACATCTTGCCAAAAAACTAAAAAAAAACTCGAAAAATATAAGATTTTCTTGTGTGAGTGTTAATACACACATCAAATTTAACATTTTGTGTGTGTGTATGTGTGTGTGTTAGTACACATATCTTGACAAGAAAATTAATAAAACTCTAAAATTTAATATTTTTTTTGTGTGTTAAATACATACATATTGGCAAGAAAATTAAAATACTCGAAAATTTATCATTTTTTGTGTGTGTCTGATAGTACACATATATTCACAAGAAAATAAAAAAAAACTCAATAATTTAACATTTTCTTGTGTGTGTGTGTTAGTACACATATTTTGAGAAGAAAATTACAAAAACTCAAAAATTTAAGATTTTCTTGTGTGTGTTAATACACAACTCAAAATTTTAACATTTTTTAAGTATGTGTTAGTACACATATCCTGAGAAGAAAATTAAAAAAACTCAAAAATTTAACATTTTCTTTAGTGTGTAATACAAACATCTTGGCAAGAAAATTGAAAAACTCGAAAACTTGATTTTTTTTTGTGTGTGTGGTAGTACACATATATTCACAACAAAATTAAAAAAAAAACTCAAAAATTTAACATTTTCTTGTGTATATACACACATCTTGGCGAGAAAATTAAAAATTAAAAATTTAATATTTTTTGTGTGTGTGTGTTAGTACACATATCTTAACAAGACAAACCCCAAAACATAGCCAGCTAAAGTCAATTCACATTGCTATCTAACTCTTGCAACTTTAGAGCCATCTCAGGGATATATCCAGCCCCTAAGATTCTGGCGAGTGACCGTATAGCTTTAGAGATCAACTCTTTCTTCTGCTTCTCACCTGAAGTGCTTGTGTCGCTTGATCGAGACGCGTTGTCTTCCTCCTTCAATGTCACACACAATCCTCTCAACCACTCGTCTAGAAAAGAGGCTTTCTATAGGGTTTCAACCGACATGAATATTCAAATTAATATTACTTTAAACATTACGCAAATGAAAATAGTGGAATCAACAACTGTCAGTTTCTTACTTTTAGGAGAAAATCTGTCAACGCATCACAATGACAGCTCGAAACTAGGCTCAGGAGATGCAGCATGGTTGAGGTTAACTGAAACAACAAATCGCACTTTAGATAAATTATTCATCAATAACCTAAAACCAGGCTAACAAGGTTTTCGTAGTTTTACCTGATTCTCTAGCGATCTCTTATATTTGAAATTTGTTGGAGTCGTCTCTCTGTCGGAATTCAGACTCTGTAAAGTATGTTCCACACCTTTTACAACATAAAGGAATGATCTCCCATAAGCTGCAATTACATTACATGCAAGGGAGGGTATAATTAGCCAAATAGTACAACCCCAAATCCCATATAATATGAGACAAAAAGTGACCTGTCCAAATTAACATAGCTACAGGGGAGGGGAGAAAGAGAGACAGTATCAAACTCACCAAGTGGGGTTGCTGGAACAGCTAAAGCGGCAGCCGCTTGTATTCTTATTTTTAAGTTTGAAGCATCACGGAGCAGCAATAGTAGAATACTAAAAACACTTGGAGCCCTTCAAAAGTAAAAGGACTTTGTGAAGGTAACCGAGAGAAGTACCTTCAGTAACAGAAAGCTAAAGATGCATACCAATCCATATCTTGCAGTTTTTACTGTCTCATTGGAGAACAAATTGCTTAACGCATGACACACATTCCATTGAACCTGTACAAATTTCTTAAGTCAAAGAATATGGTAGATAAAGCAAGGGATGCGTACAGAAACCATAGCATTTTGATACAAATCAGATCAAATCGAATATATTTCTCTATAAGAAATCTTTATTAAAAAAAACCACATTAATTAGATTTGAGTTTGATAAGCATTCTCTCAAACCAAACTAGGGCAACTCGAACCAAAACGGATTGAAACCCAAATGCTCACATCCAGATGAAACCATATCGTTTAATTCTACTTATTAAGGTATACCTTAACATTACCAGTAGTAACACTGGAAATAAATGCTTGCACGGTCCTCTCCAACCAGCTCGAATCTACCACGCAAGATAAATGGTGATGGTGCAATGGTAAAACCTCGTGGTTACTTGTCTGGTATTGCAATTTTACATATTTTGAGATACTCCACAGTGCCCGAACTGCATTGGCTTTGACCTGATAATAGAATTCTGGAAATGATGATTGCAGGCAATAATACTAAAACCTACTGTGAGCTTCACACACACAAATATATATATGAAAGCCAATTTCGCCAAAGAGAAACAAAACATTTGGATAACAAGTTACGGAGAAAACAACTAATTAATAATTAATATTATAGTAACTTTTGGAATTTAGTAGCATATCACATAGTAGTAAGTAAAAGGAATTATCACGATATGTAGGGAACTATTTTCATACACACATCTTGGCAAGAAAATTAAAAAACTTGAAAATTTAACATTTTGTGTGTGAGTGATAGTACGCATATATTCACAAGAAAATAAAAAAAAAACTCATAAATTTAACATTTTCTTGTGTGTTAATACACATTTTGGCAACAAAATTAAAAAACTTGAAAATTTAACATTTTTTTGTGTGTGTGTGTGTGTGTGTGTGTGTGTGTGTGTGTGTGTGTTAATACACATATCTTGACAAGAAAATTAAAAAAAAAACTCGAAAATATAAGATTTTCTTGTGTGAGTAAACTCGCAAATTTAACATTTTTGTGTGTGTGTGTTAGTATACATATCTTGATAAAAAATTAAAAAAATATAATACACACATCACAGCAAGAAAAAAATAAAAAACTCGCAAATTGAATATTTTTTTGTTTGTGAATACACATATATTGACAAAAAATTAAAATACTCGAAAATTTAACATTTTTCTTGTGTGTTTGTTAATACACACATCTTGACAAGAAAATAAAAAAATGAATCTTGCAAACTTAGGAGGAAAATTCACAGAAAGAAACAAGAAAATTTAATATTTTCTTTTGTGTGTGTTAATACACACATCTTGGCAAGAAAAAATAAAAAATAAGCAAATTTAAAATTTTTGTGTGTGTTAATACACATATCTTGACAAAACAATTTAAAAAATCAGAAATTGAACATTTTCTTGTGTGTGTGTTAATAAAAATATCTTGACAAGGAAATTAAAAAAAAATTCAAAAGTATAACATTTTCTTGTGTGTGTTAATACACACATCTTTGCAAGAATAATTAAAACATTTGTAATATTATTTTGTGTGTGTTAATACACATATCTTGACAAGAAAATTATAAAAAAAAACTCAAAAATTTAATATTTTCTTGTCTGTGTGTTAATATACATTTCTTGACAAGTAAATTAAAAAAAACTCAAAAATTTAATATTTTCTTGTGTGTTTGTTAATACACACATCTTGAAAAGAAAATAAAAAAATTAGTCCTGCAAACTTAAGAAGGAAAAATTCCCAGAAAGAAACTCGAAAATTTATCATTTTCTTGTGTGTGTATGTAATACACATATCTTGACAAAAAATTTAAAATAACTCAAAAATTTAATATTTTCTTGTTTGTGTTAATACACACATCTTGGCAAGAAAATTAAAAAACTCGAAAATTTTGCATTTTTTGTGTGTGTGATAGTACACATATATTCACAAGAAAATTAATAAAACTCAAAAATTTAACATTTTCTTGTGTGTGTTAGTACACACATCTTGGTAAAAAAATTAAAAAAACTCAAAAATTTAACATTTTGTGTGTGTGTGTGATAGTACACATATATTCACAAGAAAATAAAAAAAAAACTCAAAAATTTAACATTTTCTTGTGTGTATGTTAATACACACATTTTGGCAAAAAAAACTTAAATACCCGAAAATTTAACATTTTCTTGTGTGTTTTAATACCAATATCTTGACAAGAAAATTAAAAAAAAACTCGAAAATATAAGATATTACTGTGTGTGTGTTAATACACACATCACGGCAAGAAATTTTTTATGAATACACATATATTGATAAAAAAAAATTAAATACTCCAAATTTAACATTTACTTTTGTGTTTGTTAATACACACATTTTGAAGAGAAAATAAAAAAATTAGTCCTGCAAACTTAGGAAGAAAAAATTCAGAGAAAAAAACACGAAAATTTAACATTTTTTGTATGTGTGTTAATACACATATCTTGACAAGAAGATTAAAAAAACTAGAAAACAAAATATTTTTTTTTTGTGTGTGTTAATAAACACATCTTGACCAAAAAAATTAAAAAATTCACAAATTTAACATTTTTGTGTGTGTTAATACACATATCTTGACAAAAAAATTTAATAAAAATAGAAATTGAACATTTTCTTGTGTCTGTGTTAATACAAATATCTTGATAAGAAAATTAAAAAAAAAATTCAAAATTATAACATTTTCTTGTGTGTATGTGTTAATTCACACATCTTGGCAAGAAAAATTAAAAAACTCGCAAATTTAACTTTTTTTTTGTGTGTGTTAATACACATATCATGACAAGAAAACTATAAAAATAACTCAAAAAATTAACATTTTCTTGTGTGTGTGTTAATACACACATTTTGCCAAAAAACGAAAAAAAAACTCAAAAATTTAACATTTTCTTGTGAGTGTGTTAATATACATTTCTTGACAAGTAAATTAAAAAAAACTCAAAAATTAACATTTTCTTGTGTGTTTGTTTATACACACATATTGACAAGAAAATAAAAAAAACCAGTCCTGCAAACTTAAGGAAGAAAAATTAGCAGAAAGAAACTCGAAAATTTAATATTTTCTTGTGTGTTTGTTAATACACACATCTTAGTAAGAAAATTAAAAAACTTCAAAATTTAGTATTTTTTGTGTGTGTGTTAATACACATATCTTGACAAGATGATTAAAAAAACCATAAAAATATAACATTTTCTTGTGTGTGTTAACACACACACATCTTGGAAAGAAAATTTAAAAATTCGCAAATTTAAATTTTTTTTGTGTGTGTGTGTTTATACACTCATCTTGGCAAGAAAATAAAAAAACTCGAAAACTAACATTTTTTTTAGTGTGTGTTAATACACTTATCTGGACAAGAAAAATAAAATAAAAACTCAAAAATTTAACATTTTCTTGTGTGTTTGTTAATACACACATCTTGCAAGAAAATTATAAAACTCGAAAATTTAAATTTTCTTGTGTGTGTGTGTGTGTGTTAATACACATATCTTGGCAAGAAAATAAAAAAACTTCAAAATTTAATATTTTTGTGTGTGTGTGTGTGTGTTTAATACACACATCTTGGCAAGAAAATAAAAAAACTTCAAAATTTAGTATTTTTGTGTGTGTTTTGTGTTAATACACAAAGCTTGACAAGAAGATTAAAAAAACCTCGAAAATATAACATTTTCTTGTGTGTGTTAATACACACTTCTTGGCAACAAAAATAAAAAGAAACTTCAAAATTTAATATTTTTTGTGTGTGTGTGTTAATACACATATCTTGATAAGAAGATGAAAAAAACCTCAAAAATATAACATTTTCTTGTGTGTGTTGATACACACATTTTGGCAAGAAAATTTTAAATTTTCAAATTTAGTATTTTGTGTGTGTGTGTGTGTGTGTGTATGTGTGTGTGTGTGTGTTAATACACACATCTTGGCATAAAAATAAAAATAAACTTGAAAATTTAACATTTTTTTGTGTGTTAGTGCACATATCTTGACAAGAAAATTAATAAAAACTCAAAAATTTAACATTTTCTTATGTGTGTTAATACACACATCTTGGCAAAAAATTAAAAAACTTGAAAATCTAACATTTCGTGTGTGTGTGATAGTACACATATATTTATAAGAAAATTAAAAAAAAACTCATAAATTTAACATTTTCTTGTGTGTGTGTTAATACATACATTTTGGCAAGAAAATTAAAAAAAACTTGAAAAGTTAACATTTTTTTTGTTTGTGTGTGTGTGTGTTAATATACATATCTTGACAAGAAAAAAAAACTTGAAAACATAAGATTTTCTTGTGTGAGTGTTAATACACACATCACGGCAAGAAAAATTAAAAACTCGCAAATTTAACTTTTTTTATGTGTGTGTTAGTACACATATATTAACAAGAAAATTAAAAAACTCAAAAATTTAATATTTTCTTGTGTGTGTTAAGTACACACATATTGGCAAGAAAATTAAAATACTCGAAAATTTAACATTTTTTGTGTGTGTTAATACACACATCTTGGCAAGAAAATTAAAAAAACACGAAAATTTAACATTTTGTGAGTGTCTGATAGTACACAAATATTCACAAGAAAATTAAAAAAAAAACTCAAAAATTTAACATTTTCTTGTATGTGTTAATACATATATCTTGGCAAGAAAATTAAAAAACTCAAAATTTTAACCTTTTTTGTGTGTGTGTTTGTCAGTACACATATCTTGACAAGAAAATTAAAAAAACTCAAAAATTTAATATTTTTTTGTGTGTGTTAATACACACATTTTTGCAAGAAAATTAAAAAACTCAAAATTTTAACATTTGTGTGTGTGTGTGTGTGTGTGTGTGTGTGTGTGTGTGTGTGTGTGTGTGTTAGTACACATATCTTGACAAGAAAAATAAAAAAAAATTAAAAAATTTAACATTTTTTTGTGTGTGTTAATACACACATCTTGGCAAGAAAAATGAAAAACTCAAAAATTTAATTTTTTGTGTATGTGTGGTAGTACACATATATTCACAAGAAAATTAAAAACAAAACTGAAAATTTTAACATTTTCTTGTGTGTGTTAATACACACATCTTGGCAAGAAAACTAAAAAACTCGAAATTTAACATTTTTTTTGTGTGTGTGTTAATACACATATCTTGACAAAGAAAAGTTAAAAAAAAACTCGAAAATATAAGCTTTTCTTGTGTGTGTGTGTTAATACACACATCACGGCAAGAAAAATTGAAAAACTTGCAAATTTAACATTTTTTTTGTTTCTGAATACACATATCTTGACAAAAAATTCAAAAACTCGAAAATTTAACATTTTCTTGTGTTTTTGTTAATACACACATTTTGACAAGAAAATAAAAAAAATAGTCCTGCAAACTTATGAAAGAAAAATTCACAGAAAGAAACTCAAAAATTTAACATTTTCTTGTGTGTGTGTGTGTTAATACACACAT